GTACAAAGATATTCATAGGAGTAATGTTCTACGACAGCCCCATTCAGGAAACAGACCTGATGCCCACCTATAGTAGACAGTGATATTGAAATGAATGACACTACATTTATGGAATGGAGATGAATAAAATACAACTATGTGCATCAATGTGGGTGAGACTCAAAGCAATATTGAGTGACAAATGCAAACCAAACAGCACTCAATTCCATTACACACAAAGAAAAAAACTAACAGTATTTTGTCTTGCCTTAGATGTATATATTTATAATTCCAAATAAAAATAAAGAGTGATTATCATAAAATTCAGGGTAGTAGATGATTTTTTTAATCATGGAGAGAAAGTGTCAACATAGAGTGCTTCAATGATAATAGTGATATTTCATTTCTTAGAGTGGAATTTAAGTACATGTAATTTTGTCTTACATGTTTCATTAACAAAACATTTTCATAGCATACAAAGATAAGATGAACAAAAGTAACAGTTCTAGTAATGTAATTTGTAAGAAATTAAAATATAGATTTTTAAACTGAGGAACATAAAAAAATAGAAGATTTATACAGTCTTACTGATAAGAGGACTTGCTATAAAAAGGTGTCATTTGGGAAAAGAAGTATGTAACTGAAACAAAAGTTTTGATGGAACATTTCTGAAGTTTTGTGAAATTATTCCAAAGTTCTTCTGGAAGAATAAATGGATAGAGAAAGCCTAGAAAACTTTGTAAAAGAAGAATAATAAAAGAGAAGGACTTATTCTATCAAATATTAAATTATGTTCTACCAACACAAGAGAGATATGGCCAAAAGTAAAAGTCATGACTCAGTGAAATAGAAGAGAAAGCCACACAACATATGCCAGGATAGAAAATAATTTAATGTGGTAGAAAATGGCATTTTATATCACTTGGGACATTTTTGATTGGTCAACTAGTTGTCCTAAGAAAGCTGTAAAGAACTATTGTTACATTTCTACTTTATATAGGATATAAAATAAATTCCAGGTGGATTAAAGTGTTAGGTTTAGAAGAGATGGGAATGCATCATAAAAAAGAAGAAAATGCAGATGACTATGCAACAGATCTGAGTGACAAAGAGAATTGTCTCTAATCAAGAACTCCAGTTGGAGACCAGGTGGCTTAGTGATACTAACTTGATAGTCAAGGTCACCCTCCATCCCATAGACCCTTCTTAATGAGCATTATTTGTATCTCTCTAGTCTGTTCACAATTCACTTAATGAATAAAGCCTCTTCACTTTCCCCAAATCCTTGGCTAAACTCCTCACCATATTCTGGTAAATGTTTCATCTCCACTTCTCAAGAGAATGGAGCCATTAGGACAACTTAAATCACCCCTTCCTTTGGAGAAAGCATTTGCACATTTTCATTCCCTTCTCATATCCTCACCTGCCCCTGCTCCTGCCTTCCAGGACCCTACCAATGTCAATTATTTCTTCTCACTTTCCAACCCTTCTACCTTTTACCTCAATTTTGGATTTTCTCCAAAATCATGTGATAATCTTTCCTCTCTTTGGGAGGGGGCGCTACTTTAGCTCCCTATTGCATCTCTGTACTTCTACACCCCCCACCTTGTTCACAGCTAGATAACCTTTCTCAGCACCATCCCTCAACTTCCACGCTTCACCTACCACAGGAGGGCTGTGACTCAGTGTTCCCCCTAAATTACTCTTCCCCAGGTTACAAGTAACCTTGACACTAAATTCAATGGGAAAATATAAGGTCACATCTGTAGCTTTTAATCTTCTTTATCTTACCTTGGAAGATCATCTTCCATCATCTCTAACCCTTCACCTTCCTTGTTTTCCAGTACCTTTCTGAACTCTAATGACCTCCCAGTTTCTTTATTTTCCTCCTAATTGTTAAGATTAGCATTCCTCTTGGCTTAATCACTGGCCTGTTGCTTTTGTTTGAGTCTTTGTGGGAGATCTATTCCTGGGCCTCAGTGTTGGCTATCCAACCACTACCCACAGTGCCATGCGGGTGTTCTACACACACCTTAAATGACGAATGAGAATGAAGTGAGCTTGTCAGTTTCCTTTCCAAAACAAGTTATCCTCTGGGCCTCTTTTTATGAACAACACACTCATCCATCCCAGTTGTATAAAACAGAAGAACTGGAGCCTTCCTTAATGCATCTCATCCCCTCTGTACCCTTATCGGCTACCACCGAATCATGCTGGTTTTGTGCCCCCAAATCTCCTCATGGTCTGCTTCGCTGGTGCACTACTGTTACCCTGCCCAAGCTCCCATCTTTTCTGCACCACACTCCACTACACACCAGCACCCATCCTCCCTGCTTCTGCCCCAGTATCTTCCACTTCTCCACCAGCCGTAACTTATTTTCTACTTGTTATCCTCACTTGACACACTAGATTTTCTCTGCTTGCTATAATTCTCCTAATATCTTTGCCTTTACCTCCAAATCTTATAACAACTTAAAAAATTAATTGTGAGTACAAATATTTACTTAAGGTGTCTCCCTTTCCAGATACAAGCTTTATCAAGGGTTTGAATATGTCTTTCTTGTCACTGCATCCCTGCATCAAAGTCCCTTTATCGCATTAAATATTCAATAAAAATTTGTGGAAGGGATAAATGGATAAGGAACTGCAATATGACTTCTGACTACTTAGAGGATTCTACATACCTCAAAGATTCAAAAGCAAATAAAAAAATAACAAAAATATTTATAACCTATGCATAAAAGCTTAAGGCCTTAAAAACAGATTATAATTACAAGGCCGAAAGATGAGTATGAACAAAAATGAAGAGCCATGCAGGAAAATGAGCACAAGATATAGAGAGAATGTTCATAAAAGAATCAATGCAAATGGCCAATTAAATTGGAAAAAATATCCCTGCACTCTCCACTATTCTAAAAATGTCACATATACATACATATGCATACACTTAATTTTTTTAAGTAGTGAGCCTTGACAAGGATTGGGAATAGGCATATTCTGCTGGGGAAATCAGAAAGGCACAAATTTCCTGGAAGGCAATGTAGGCATTTGTGCCTGAAGCCTTAAAAGTAAAAGTTTATCTACTTTGGCTCAATTTCCAAAAATTTATTTTAGGGACATCAATAGAATTGTATGCAAATACTTATAAGAATGCTCATTATAGTATTACAACCCTAAAGAATTCAAGCCCACTTTAATACCTAATAATAAAGGATCGGTGACGATAATAGAGCATATCCTGCCCCAAGCAGTCATTAAAATGCATGACCTCAAAGAACATTTAAGGTTTTTTTTTTTTTTTTTTTCCAAATCTGTGATTTTCTTTCTTGGTGATAAAAGAAGGCTGTAACCCAACATACACAGTAGGAGTTTAATTTTTAAAAATAGAATATGTGTATGCATAGGCATAAAAATAGTTGCAAAATATCTCCGCATATGGGGATTAGGAGTGATTTTGTTCTTTTCTTTTTTTAACCTTTTTGTATATTTGTAATATTCAACAAATTCTGTGTACAATGTCCATAATGAGAAAAACTAAATATATTTTAATTTAACAATAGGGAACTGATTGCGACATATGGCCAAGGATATATCCAGAGAGAGGCATAGCATGATGATTAAGAGTATATGCTTTGAAGCTCACAGACAGGTGTTCAATTCCCTCTTTACAACTTAAGAGTCGTATGACCTTGAGCAAGTTATTTAATTCTCTCAGCCTCAGTCCCCTTATCAGTACAGAGGAGATAATATGCACTGGGCAGAGCTATTTTATGGTTTAAGTGAAATAATGTATGAAACATTCTGATCAAAGAGTGAGCACTTAGTAAAAGTACCTGCTTTTATAATGCCAAAATATAAATAGATCAGGTAATGATTTACATGAATTCATGATTCCCTAAAGGGTTGTAACTGGAAGATTTGGGGAATCATTTATTTTATGGTTCGGCATCTTCCAGGCTATTACTATGGAGGATGCTGGCAGGAAGATGGACATCAGCACAGAAGCAACCCAGGAAATCTTGTGCTCTTTGGGCAAAATAGTAGCATAGGCCATTCATTCTCCTGTTCATCCAGTCAGCAAATGATCTGAGCACTTGTGATGTACCGGGTGATGGGCACTCAGCAGTGAGACAAACTAGCTGCCTTGTTGGAAGGAGGCAAGTTTCATCTAACAGAAGTGAGATCTCAAGGCACATTGTTCCTGCTGGATCCAGGAATTAGTCAGGAAACTGAGGAAACACTTCTTTTAGTTAAAGAAAACTTGGCAAGGATAGGAAAAGGATGGTGAAACTCACTTTACACTCCTTAAATATCAACCCAAAGCAAGAGACTTATTCCACAATCCTACCTGCTGGTAGAACTAGGAGCATGCTGATGTACTCCTTGCCCTGGTCAGGTTTACTTTAAGAACAGACTTTCTCAGTCTGCAGAGGAAGAGCCATCAACCTTCCAGAGGGCTCAGCAAACTGGCTTGGGGGTCAAACCCAGCCCACCAGGTGTCTTCATTGTAGAAATAGTTTTATTGCAACACAGCCATGTCTGCTCATTGATGGATTGTCTACGATGTTTCTGTGCTACCAGAGCAAAGATGAGTAGTTGCAACAGGAACTATGTGCCCTCCTAAAATCATTACTTGGGCCTCCCCTGGTGGCGCAGGTGGTTGAGTGCCGCTCTGTGAAGCTGTCCACCACCTCTGCAGTGCTGGTTCGATCCCGGCTGGCCAGTGAGGGTCCCACATGGTGAGGCAGACCTCTCCTGTCATGCCCGCTGCACCCCTCAGCAGTGTATTTCATCAGTCTGCCTGTTCTGTTCCCCACTCTGTCTCTGGTGAATCCTCTCACCCTCCCATGCATCTGGCCTGTACCCCAGTTCTTATATAAATAAATATTTTTTAAAAAATAAATAAAATCTTTACTTTCTGACTCTTTACAGGAAAACCTCACCTATTCCTGTCCTAGGTCACTGGGCTGGGGAAATGAGGTGGCAAGCAGCATCACATGGTTCCCTTTTTCCTTCTACAGTTCCAGGAGCTGTTCCTCTAGAATCCATCCAAGGGGGACCCTTTGAGGAGAAGATCTACATCCAGTGGAAACCCCCCAATGAGACCAACGGAGTCATCACACTCTATGAGGTAAGGAGGGCCCTTTTGCTGTATCTCATGGCTTAGTTGTTTTCAATTTATTTCAACCTAAAGATGGTGAATACCCTCTGTGGAAGAGCTCTTTGGAGGGTGTAAAGGTAAGTGAGGCAAAAGGTATCTGACAATATAGCTGGGGAAGCACAAGGGTATTCAGAGGCATTGTTTCAGTAGCTCAAAAGACAAAAAAATTGACAGATGTGCATTGTGATGATAGTGTGAATCAGGTCTCAGAGACCTGGCATATTGGAGAAGACCCAGGCCTGGCAAACAGTAGCTGCAGTTCTGGAAAAACCACCCATGATGCTCTCCCAGGCAGATGAGTCAGATCCTGGCTTCTGCAACAACCCCGCCGCCATTCTCTGTCCTGGGGGCACATGCTTCTTGAGCTTTGACATCCTTCTTGTCACCTAGGTGATGGTGTCAAAAGCCCTCACCCCCAGAATTAACAGGGCCTTCTCATATCAGAGAGAAAGCAGAAGCAATGCAGGCAGGCATGCGCCCTACAAGCCAAGAAAATGAGGCTCCCTTAAACCTTCAAAATCAGAACAGGTTGTATGAAAGTTCATGACACAGCAAAGCAAAATCGAACACAGCTTCACTAAGGCTGATGCAGCTAGACTCAGGTATTGTTGGCACAAGGACAAAATGGACTCTGCTCCCACCTCTCGTAGTCTGAGCCACCAGGAGGTCGTGATATGGGGAGCAAAATGCAGCAGTGAGAGGGAAGGTCATGGAAGCTGACACTGGAAAGGAGCCTCTTCTCCTAGTGTCACTACCAGTCTCAAGTGTTCTTAGGACTCTGCTTCCTCTCCCAAGCTTCAGTTTTCTCACCTGTAGCATTGGAGGTGGTGATCACCATTTCAGAGTTAGGGGAAGGTCAGTCACAATACCCGCAGGCTGAAACACCTGTAGGGCCATGAGAGGTGGAAGCCCCAGAAACGTGCCCCTGTGGCAGGTGGGCTTGGGGGAGCCTAGCGACACCATTAGGAAATGAAGGATATGGGGAGAATATCCAGGATTATTCTGAAGGACACAGAAGCTCCCTCCCATAGGAGAAAACATCCAACAGGTGTAAGTAATTGGGAAAGCACCTTCAGAAACGGGCCTTGTCTCAGCAAGTCCAGTGTTCTGCAGAAGGGCTGTCCGACATCTCCATTTTTGAAATTGCAGGGAGCTTGATGCAGCTCCTGGAATCAGCACAGGAAAGGAGGGAGCAGACACCTCAGTGTACCATTTATGAGCCACCCTGGGCCCCGAGGTCAGAGAAGCATCCTTCCTGGGGATGGTTCTGGAGGGAAGAACATGGATATGCCTTTCCCAGGATACTTTCAAGACCTTGTCAAGGGAGAGATGGACAGAAATTCAACTCCAAGAAAACCTAGTCATTTCAAAGCTACATGATGTTCTTTGTATAACAGAGGCCACAAGTGTACACACACAACACACACACACACACACACACACCCAGATCTCTTCTGTGTAGCAACCTGCTCTTTGTAAATCATAGTGAAAGGACCTACCACTAAGAAAGTGAAGTTGTTTGTTCCTGTTATGTAAAGGCTGTCTATGCCAGATGTTCAAGACTTTGGAATTCACAAGCCAGTAACATTTCAAAAGGTTTGGGGACCAACATAGAGTGCTTTACCCTCACTTATTAACATTTCATAGAAGACATCATTTCAAAAATATAGAAAGGATATAATGTCAAAATAAAAGGCAATCCTTCAGATGGAATAAATTTAGCTTTATGAATAACTCATGACAATCTCCTTATGTTTCTTCTCATTATGCCTGGATAGATGACAACATTGTCATGCAAAGACCCCGGCCTTGAACCTACCTGCCCCTGGAAGCCGCTGGCCTAGGCCATGTTGCAGGTGGGGTCATACCTCTGCGTAGACTTCCTCCTGGATGCAGTATACTCCCTCTAGTAGTGTGGTGTCCAGGGCTGGGCTAGGAAACCCTGGATGATAAGAAGACATAATTAGATGGAGAGAGAACACAGAGCAAATATAACTCTATTTGTGCAATAACTCCCTGAAGTTGAGGCATGATTCTGTGTTGCCCTCTTTGGAGCTCTGGGCACAGCTTGGGACAATGTGCTCTTCTCACTTTCATGTGAAGCCAGGTCGTTGTGGATATTCAAAGACCACATGATGCCAGGTTTGCTGACATTCCCTTGGTGGACTCTTCTGGAAACAGCTATGGTGAGGCAACTTCAGGTGGACAATGATTGCAAAGAACCAGAGCTCGCAATCTCCAGCCTTGTGGGCATCTGAGGCCACCTTATGAGAATAGACCAACATTCTTAGCTGATGCTGTGAAGGAAACAGAGGGTTATGGGCTTAGGTCTTTGTGATTTGAGCATAAATATGGCTGTGGCCATGTGTATCACAAGCTACTGAGGTCATAGAAGGCAGGAATATTGACTTTTGAGGTCAATCTAGTTCAGAATCCCAGATCTCCTGCTTATTTGCTTGGGTACATCAAGCAACCTCTCATTTGTATTTATTTATGAACAAAAATATATATATTTAGTACAGTGCTTGACATTTATAAATAGAGTAAGTGTTAGCTCTTATCATTACATAAACATGAGGACATTGAGACTCGAGGGGTGAAGTGAAAAGATCAAGGTCAGATCATTTGCCGTCTCAGCCAAATTCCTGTCTGGATTCAAGTGCAGATGTCTTGCCTCTTGCCCATTGTGGTTCAGGGAAGAGCAGCATTGGTGTTACCTTGGAGCTGGTGAGAAATACAGCATCTCAGGCCACACCAGCCCTCCTGAGCCAGAGTCTCCATCCTAATAAGATCCCTGGGTGACTCACATGGCCTTTAAAGTTTGAGAAACACCACTTTCGACCACACTATGCTTTAGAAAGTCTTGACAGTTGATAAGAGAGCATTTCCTTCCAAGTAGAGATGAGGGTCCTGTCTGTGGACTGTAAGCAGAAGACCATGCTTGTAAGAGATTTATAACAGAATGGTGTGTGTTTATAAGGAACTTTCCAAATTTAATTAGATGAAACCAATTTGATTTTTTAAATTAGTTTCTGGTTGTAATTTTTAGAGCGAAATCTGTAATTTACAAATCACTTCTTCTGGCCTCAAAAAGTATATTTTTGACAAAGAAAAGTAGGTTAACACAAATAGAAGAGAAATCTACAATTGTCAGTATCATTCTATGCACAACTTTAAACACATCAAAACTAAAAGAAATAGGAAAGGGGCAGGGTTGTCACTATATATATTTTGTAATTATTGTTAAACATTGCAGGTCTGAGCAGTGTTGCATTAAATTTCCTTACTCACAAGCCAAAGTCACAACCTTTGGACAATTCTGTACCGCCAAAATCTGAGAATCAGTATAACTTTATATTCATTCCATCCTGTCTGTGGTCTTTTTTCCCCAATTTTGCAACTTGAAAGTGTCAGAATGTTCCAGGCTTAAAATGGGTAAGAATCAAGAGAATAAATCCATGGCAAACCTATAAAATCACAGGCTATACCTCATTTCGGAGTTGCTCTGCTGTTGAACCCTCCTTGACTGTGACCAGGCTTCAAATGCAAAGCAGTGATAACATGTGATGAAAAACAGCTGGTGCAAAGGCCCTGGGTGGGAATGACATTTGCATGTTTGGCAACCAGAGTGTCTGAAGCTTCAAGTGCATGGAGGACAGAGAGGAGACCATGTGTGAAGGTGGGTGCACAGAGTGAGGTTATGAAGAGCTCCTAGAATTTGCTTTTATCCTGAGAGGAATGGAAAGCCCTAGGAAGATTTAAGCTGAGAAATAATGGAATCAGATTTATATTCTTAAAAAATCACCTGACTGTTATATGGATAATGGACTGTGAGTGCAGATGTATTTTTGGGGTCATCTGAAAAATGTGCTGGGAGGCAAGCACATTTCCACTATTTGTGATATTGTAATAAGGGCTCAGCTATTTATTGGGAGAGCTTGTATCCGGGCGGATGATGTGAAAACTTTGTCACACCTGCCTGTTTCCCCAACTTTGACCTCTTCCTTGGAGTCAGTTCTTATCTTGATGAGCTCCCTGGAGTGGCTGTGGACTGTTAGATCCCAGACCTTCCCTTCCCTTCGGGAGGGAGTCCAGCCCTGACCCTGATGCCACCCCCTGTAAGGCATAATTCTCCAGCTACTGCGACCTCTCTCCCTGCCCCATTGGAAGCCAGCCTTGTCTGCACTGGACAGAAGCGTGAGGATGCATTAGACACTGCCCTGTGTGCTTAGTGGGTGATGCAGAATGCATGTCTGTGGGTTCTTTTCTAAGCAGAGTGATGGACAGTACAGAGGGAGGTGATGTCACAGTCTGTGTCCAGAAGCCCACAAGTCAACACCACCCGGAGCATGTCAGGCCCCCAACTCTCTGGCCCAGCTCATGGAATCGGGCTGTGTTTAGCAAGATCTACAGGTGACTCGTGTGCCCATGAATGTGTGAGAAGTGCAGGGCTCAGGGACTTTCTAACTTGTCTCAGTCTGGATTTGGAAGGCTCTGCTTGATGACACCACCGTCATCCTTGGACCAGTTACTCTATCATTGAGTGAACTGGGAATGCCCCTGCTCCTGTGGGCTCTGTCCACAGGCTAGGGAAATCATGCCATTTCCCCACTCAGGGTCTGTGTGTGAAGCAGGTTGTTGAAGCAGGCTCTCCTGTTCTGACACAGCTCTCGTGAGCTGCACAGCTAACCAAAAACACAGACATGGCAACTGCAACAGGCACTCACAGCCCGAGTGAGGTCACGGGAAGACAGTCCAGCAAACAGTGATTTAAAAACCCCTCAATAAAGTCAGTTAGAGGCAAGCTGTTCAGAGTTCATGAAAAACAGTAATCAATATGTGTTTCAATTCAATTAATTGTTCTTGTCTCTGTCCAAAAATAAAAAATCACGCAGATGAATTGGGCCAGAAGTTGTTACACTAGCAACTGGGTTAACGTAGTGTGGAAATATTTAAATTTCAGACATGTG